CTTGTCCGAGTTGTGAGAGTGTAAACCCTAAACCCTTGCCCGGCTTGGTAAGACTGGAGTCTTTAGTCTGGCTGCAGAGCGATGAGGACTTCGGATGGTCAGGTTTAGATAGAACCAACGCAGGCAGCAGGGCTCGCCGTGCTCAGACATGCAGTGACCAGTTGAAGCACCCTTTCCAAGGAATTCAAGGGTATATAGGCTTCCGTTCCTTCGTACATATCACTGGCGCGCCGTGGATAGTTTAAAGTGCAAGCTAACGAACGGCATGGGTAGCATGCAGAATCCAAGACATGTTCAAAACTTGAGACAACTTGTAAAGGAGACAATCGTTTCCAAAGAGGGCAGCTGCAGCTGACACCATGCCGAGCTGGCTTACAGGATGAGCAAGCACTCACATTAGAATATTACCATATATACATATATGTCTGTGTGTATATAGTATTTAAATATAAAGGTATTTAAGTCAGATGTAGATATATACATGTTTGTATGTGCCTAGACCTATATATGCACATGAACTTTTAAGTAGATAAACAGATACAAAATCTTGGTCGAGGACTCCCTAAACCCTAAACCCTAAACCCTAAACCCTAAACCCTAAACCCCCAGGATTTGTTTGGAAGCTTCGATCTCGGAACAGGCGTGCCCTTTATGCCCTTTCACTGCTGAAGGGTCCGAGGAAATTCTGTCAAAGTTGGCGTGTGCTTGCTGATGCGTAAGGCGCATTGCGCTGAGAGACGGCCGAGGGCAGGAGCAGACCCTAAACCCTAAACCCAAAACCCTAAACCCCAAAACGAAAATTCGTCGAAGTGGCCGACCTCTTCGGCCCGCATGGAAACCGCCCGCTGCCATGATTCAGATGGGGATCCCGGCCGTGCCGACACTTTGGCCGCATTCCAAGGGCCTGACAGACGATCCGGGACCCTTGGTGCCGCGAAGTGTTCGGACTGCTTGTTCCTGTCTTTCTGCAGGTAGATGGTTTCGAGGGCCTCCTGTATTGCGCGCACTTGAAGCAAAGTGGCAGGCAGCAGAGTTTGTATAGGACGCAATTCTTGAAAACTGCTTGGTTGGAGAGGCAGAAGTCGCCTCGCAAGCTTTCAACGTGCCGCGAGGTTCATTGAAGCAAAAGCCATCTTGGCAGATTGTAGCAGCCCCGGTGTTCGATTCCCTGTTCTCCACAAGGAAGCTCCTCTGGGAGTGCTACGGCGGGCCCGAGGGCGTTTTCCCTGCAGATCGCCGCTTGCACCTTCGCTGCGCTGAGGATGAGTCTGGTGGCTTCACTCCTCAAAATGTTCCTATGCACTGGTTGAGTTTATGTAAGCTGTCCTCAGTTTGCTTGCTCGCAGAGCGGCCTTCGGCATAGCTTGAATTCAACAAGGGGTTTGGAGTGCAGGGTTCAGGATTCGGGCTTTGTGTCTCGTGACAGGGGCTGGTGGTTGAGCCGGCACATGCACAGGCATCGTGAACGCTTCAATACTTAGCTACCCGTGTATGTGTGTGTGTGTGTGTGTTTTTCAGAACGCATTGTCAGGGCTTCAGGTCTATGGTAGGGCAGGCCTACGGGTCGAGATGTAGTCAGGACATCAGGAGTCGGGCTTGGGATTTGGAGGTTCTACGGCGTTCTACGGCCTGTGAATGCCTTCAGGTTTTGCACACTACATCCTATACCCTCGACCTTGGTTTCAAGGTCTTCTTAACCCCTAAATAGCCCCTAAATATGAATATAAACATATATCTATATATATATATATGTATGTATATGTATACAATGAAAATCTGCATGTATAAATATAAGATCGATATATATATATATATACATTATATACATACATACATACATACATGCATGCATGCATGCATGCATACATACATACCGGGGGCGAGGCAGCTGCGGGGTCTCTCCAGCCGCCCCGAGCTCAACGACCAGCAGGGGGAGGTGCAGATGGGAAGCTGACAAAAGGGGACTTTTAAAAGCTTATTGGGTTTAGGTGATCAGGTTTAAAGTGGTGGGTGGTCGGTATCGGTTGTTGCAAGTCTTTCCCGGTAGAATCGCTGCAGACCGGACGCAAAAGGTGATCAGGTTTATAGGGCTTTACTTGGAGGTTCATGGGTAGTTAGTAACTGGGGTTGTAAGTAGGGTAACTATACTTATAACCCATATTGGGGGACTTATAACCCCACTTATAACTACCCCCATGAACCTCCAGGTAGGGACCCTTTAAAGGAACCCTTCTTACAGGAACCATTGTAGAAGCCCATACGGGGACCCGTAAAAGGAACCGTTTGCGTTTTCCCTGATGGGAACCCATGTGGCCCCTCGTTGCGCCCTGGGAACCTTGTGGCAATCGGGGCCGGCGCGGCCCGGCCCAATACTTGCAAAACGGGACCCTATGCCATCCTATGCCGCACTTGAGTGTGGAAGCAGTTTTCAGCTAGGCTTGCTTGAAACTCTTGCCTGAAGCGCAAGCCCTTTGTAACGCCTGCGCCCGGTGTGCCCTGTGGCCTATTTGCCATCCTGCACTCTGATCGCCAGGTGGTTGATTGGCATGCCGAGTCAGGTGGGGGAATGAGGGGCACTAAGCGAGTTTCTGGATCCAGATGCTGGAAGCATCAATTAGGGTTTAGGGTTTAGGGTTTAGGGTTTAGGGTTTAGGGGTTAGGGTTTAGGGTTTAGGGTTTCAGATATGCAAATGCTACACACTCGTCTGATGGTGGAGGGTCCAGAAGCTCCAGCTGTCAGTTCGCCTCAAAGCGCCCTTAAACTGGGTTCTTGTTAAGGGATTTAATTTAAGTTACCATCCTGGGGATCTATAGTAAATAATATGGTTTCCTTATTATGGTAACTTAAATTAAATCCCTTAACAAGAACCCAGTAAAGCGTAGTCCAAGAAGGAGCACGACGTGTAGCCTGACCAGATGGGGCTTGTTCGAGCCACAGTGGGATATGTCGAAGTGTACGCTGACACAAGAAAGGCACTATAGTATACATTCGTATATGATAGTATATTATAGTATATGATAGTATCTTACAGTTTTTGATAGTATATCATAGTAGATGATAGTATATGATAGTGTATTCTAGTATATTATAGTATACTATAGTAGACTCTGGGGAGGGAACGGGCCCAAGCCCCCAATCTCCAACAGCTCCCAAGACGGCCCAGGGCGCTTCGTCGTGTGCATCGCCGCGGAGAAGGTGAAGGTGGCCGGTCTTGTTACGTTCAGGGTTCAGGCTTCAGGGTTCAGGGTTTAGGGTTTAGGGTTTAGGGTTCAGGGTTCAGGGTTTAGGGTCTAGGGTTTAGGGTTTAGGGTTTAGGACTTCAGAGAGTCGTTCAAAAGGGTTTAGGGTATGTTAATTGTTGCGGCCTGTGCCCAGGGAGAGCCCCGTATCTCTTAGTTGATGTTAACGAACTGTCTTAGAGCTTACAGAGCATCTTTCCGTGTTTTATACGGAAGCCCGAAAACCCCAAAACAGAACCCTGAAGCCTTGCAAGACACTGGAAACCTTATCAACCCCCTGTAGAATCTCAAACACTTGACTGTTCGGAACTTCTCGCTCAAAGCCCTCAGCCTTCAGCCTTAAGTGGCGTGTGAACCGTCGACTGGGACGGAGAAGGGCAGTTCACATGACTGCGACCCAAGGGGGGCTCTACGCGAGAGGAAGATGAGGGATGGTTGCTCGTGTTGAAAAAAGATGGCCTGTGATTACTGAGAGTGTGGGAGTGTAGTGCGAGTGTAGGCCTTTAAGTGGTGTCACGTGATACGTACTTGCTGAACTCTGCACTGCGGGCTTGTCCTGGCCAGGTGGGAGGCAAAAATTATCAGAGGCTCCGAAGTTGGCCCGTGGACAGAATAGCACCAGAACTGTTGCAAAAGGGTGCTCGGTAGCTCCTAGACACGAGTTCTGCAAGGACTCGGTTAAAGGTTCAACAAGGCTTAGAAGGCTATAACAAAAATCATCTAAGGCACGCGCCGGATGCACGAACATTAGGTCTTCGGGCTTGGGTTTGAGATTTCAATTGTGGCGAGGAGACGAAACTGAAGCACCACACTCAAAACTGTACACCCTTAATCCTAAAGCTGTAGGCGCTCGGAAATCCAGGTCAAGGCTGCCAACCTCTTGGCGAAGGTGCAGCAACGGTTCCGCAGAACAGCAGTTTGAAAAAACTCAAGCTTGTATCAATACGTTCACGAGCCCTTTATCGTGGGCTGCAGCGATGTTTCGTGAGCTACTTGAAGGCAATACGAACAGGGGGCTTGGAAAGTGGTACTGCTTTGCAGAAGAGAGTAGGAGATGTGGTAGTGTAGAATGAAGCTCTCTGTCTCTCGCTCCCTCTCTTGCTCTCTATCCCTCTCTCTCTCCCTCTCTCGCTTGCCGCCAGCGTCTGCAGGACGCTGGCAGTGAGAGCTGGGTCCGCTCCGAGGCACTTGCAGCTTGCTCTGTTCTTCTTCTGTTTACGGCCATGAACAGAGCCCGATATTGGTTGTCGGAGATAAGGCTGTTCTTTTTTGTTTGATGCATAGGTAGACCCAACAGAGTCGCCGGACGCAGAGAGAGTCAGGTGATGTCATCGGGCCTGGTATTCGAGCGGTGTACAGATTCAGGTCCACAAATACGATCATTTCAGGACAGAAAGAGGAAGCGCTTAAACCGCATTTTGACTTGCACATGGCCAGGGCGTGGCCTGCCTTCTCAATTCAGTCGATGTGCGCGCATGCAGACGGGAGCCTCCCATGAATACATAGCAACGTTTGATTAGGCATTTTCCTTCGATACTTTGGAGACACGACCAACCATACCAAAGCAAAGCCTGTCCCACAACAGTTGCAAGCAGTTCCACAAAGTGGACGAGACATCCCAGAGTTTCCCGCATATACCTTTCGGGCACTCTCTCAGGTTCTTGCATTTGATGTCCGGCGACAGGACTACTGACTACTGGATCTCCGGCTCAAGTTTACTGTAGCATCGGAAACTTCAAGTTTTGGTAGAGCCAGAAGCTATGGACGTGGCAGGTCTCCACGCTTGCAGCCTTTTCTGCCTGGCCCTTGCTCTAGCAGCAAGTTGCTCTATGTGCGTGTTGGGACGTCGCCCGGAGCGTGGCACGAGTTCCGTTATTGTGACATCGTGCCTGTGGTCCTGCTCGGTGATGTGGCATTTGCCTTACTATGCTGTCTCTGGAATCACAGTGGCGGCGGCTTTAGTTTCCTGGTCTTCTTTGCATAGTTCACTTCAGACCCTTTTCCATCAGAAAGAAACCACCACCATGCCCGCGGCAACCTTGCTGTGGAAAGTGGTGTGTGCCATGCTAAAGCGGGGTGAGTTTGGTCAGGCCGTAGTCTGTTTGATATGGGGCCTGCACTGCTTCATCACACACGTGTTGCTGGAGTTGGAGGATCTCGTCCTTGATCTCGTGCCGCAGTGGCAGGGAGAGGTTATTGTGATCTTGGGTCATCCTCGAAGTGCCTCCACGCATGTGCATCATATGCTCAGCCAGACGTTGCCAAGCAGTGCGTCGCTGACTTTCTACGATGTCCTCTTCCCTTCCCTCATCCAGTGGTATTGTATGCAGCCGTTCAAGCCTTTGGTCAACATCTTCCTCAGCCTCCTCGACTCGCCGCAGCACCGAATCGCTGTGGATGAGGTTGCAGAAGAACAGCAATGGCTGACGTTGAAGTTCAAGGAGATTCTGTTGCCCATGCTCTTCCCTGCGATGGTCGATGACCCCAAGCTGTTCCGCGCATCCTGCGACTACACCGAAGCAGACATGATGTTCATCAAGGGGTGCACAAGACGCCTTTTGATCCGCAAGCCGCACTGCAAGCTATATATAGCTCGCATGCTCACTTTCTCGCCATGGCCTGAATATATCACAGCTGCCTTCCCCAATGCCAAGTTCATCGTCTGCTTAAGAGATACTGAGGAGTGTGTGCGATCTTTCGTAAGCCTCGCAGCCGTTCACTCAGGCGGCAACCCGAACACACCGCTGTGCAAGAAGTGGGCTCAGAACTGCGCCGACACCCTCACGGAAGGCACAGTTCGAGGCCTGCGGCGCCTTGTGGACGGCCGGGTGAATGCCAAGTCGGTGATGCAGGTGAACTTCAAAAGCTGGAAGGCAGAGACCCGGTCCTGTCTGATCTGGTTGCTGAAAGAGTTGCGCGGTGTCAACTAGAAATCGAAAATTTATTCATTCCCCTGTTCCCTTCCGCGGTTTGTGCTTTTGCATGGTTTCCTGCGGATAAGCTGGGGGCCGGGAAATTTCAAGCCAGGTTGGGGATGCGCGAAGAGCTCAAGGCCGTGGAGGCCTCCAAGGAAGTGAAAGTGGAGCGGCGCGAGAAACACAAGAGCAGCGCAGACGGGATCGATTGCCTTGAGGGAGTTGACATAGCCAACTGGACCATTGATGAGATGAACTCCATGATGGATAAGCTGAAGTAGGAATCATAGAAAAAGAGTGGTTATGCTGCCATAGTACGGAAGATTTATCAGTATCACTAAAATAATCATCAATGGTTGTGGTCCTCGAAGTAGTAATGGTGGTAGTAGTGGCAGTGGTAGTGGTAGTGGTAGCGGTAGCCTGAGCGGTAGCGGTAGTGGTAGCTCTAGTTGTACGTAGTCACCGCAACAAGCAACGGCGAAGACATATCCCACCTGTTTCACATTTGCTGATGTGCCTAGCCTTAAAGGCGGGCCTTGCACCAAGATCTTCGGATCCCGTATAAGGAGGGTTTCATGGTTGCTGCAGAAGGCGTGCCATGTGCTAGTTTGCCCATGTCTCTACGGCAGGGTGTGGAGCACCTGTACAGAGTTGCACAGACTGACAGCTTCATGCCGTACTTGCTTTTGCATGGCAGCTTTTTGTGAAAGGGGGCTGCTTTTTGCTCAGTCTCTGGTGCTCCGGAGTTCCGCACGTCGCCTCATGCATAAGCTGTTCTGAGACGTGTGGCCACGGCTGTACTCCGCCAGGCCATTCTTCGACGCACGAGGGAAGCTCTGAATTAAAATGGTGCGTGGTCGCACTACATGCACCACGGATTCGAGTAGTGGTTCGAGTTGAAATGGATCCTTTCTCAACGACCAGGCGCACCTGGGCCCGCTGCCGGCCTCCGTCGTGCCGTGGCTGTTTTGGATTTGCGGCGCCTTTTTGTGGAAGGTGTACTTGACGGCTTCAGTGAGGATTGTTTGAGCTTCTTGGGGTTCGGATTCGGAGTTCGGAGTAGCGGTTACGGGGATAGTGTAATCTTTGCGAGGTTACCAGACTTCCCGGTGGCCCTAGGAGGCCAGAGGGTTGAATTGGGGTTTTAGGCCGTGTCAGTTGCCCACCCACGATCGCAGGAGACCTAAGCCGTCAGCACAACCTCAACCCTAAGCCCTAAACCCTAAACCCTAAACCCTAGCCCTATGCTGCTGGCCACAGAACTCTAAACCCAGAGAGATACCAGGCCCTGCGCGTGGGGCTTGCGCTGCCAGCAAGGCCTTGCAGTGGGAGAGCACGCCCTCTAATCATGTTACGGGATGCATGTTGGACTATGCTATGCGACATAGGGTTCTGCTTGGGCATCTTTTCACGCACGACAACCTGCTATATAGTGCAGTATGGAGCGTTATCTTCCAGTATGTGCCGTTATGTTAGGGTATATATGTCTATGTTGCCATTGTGCTATGCAAGACGAATTCTTCATTCTTTCGCTTTGTGATTCTTTGAGTTGTCTTGTTGCATGTCGCCATGTCATGCTATGCCGTGCCATGTTATCGTACCTTAGGGTCATGTTATTTGGGTTATGTAGCTCCACCATATGTTATCTGCATGTATTTTTATGGTGTGTTCTGTTCTGTTCCGCTCTTGTATTTTCTGATGTGTAAGGCTGTGCAGCGCTGTGGAATTGTTCTACCGATTCAAGTTAATGCCAATGCTATGCTGGACTTGTGCTGTCTTGTATCACGCAAGCTTGAGCCCTGAATACTAATATCCACCAGCCCGTCATAGTCCCGTATTCCGCGGCGCTCCTACCGGCCAAAAGCATTTTTCCTCTTAGCAGCTTGTATCAACTTGGGGGTTGTTGCCTGGCTATGCGAGCCCAGCTGGCAACTTAGCTATCCCCGGCCCAGCGGCCGAGCCTCCGTGGGTGACAATGATGGCTTTCACAGCCATTTGAGTTTGCACCCTTCCCAGAGCCGGCAGATTCTCCACTCTATGGCCTTGTGCCGTGCTTGTCTTTGCAGTTCGGGCCAAGAGACTTTGCGCCGGTGTTTGCACAAGTGGACGTTTCTCCATGCAGCATTCAACAAGTGGACGCTTCTCCATGCAGCATTCTGCACCGCGCACGGCACAGTGCCGGTTGACGACTTGCATGGTTGCGACCTGTAGCAGTCTGACAGGCCTTGTCGACAAGCGGTTCTGGCATTGTGCCAGCTGCTCCCATTCTTGGGTGTTTATGGGTTTAGCCTGGGCTCATGCTATGGTTGCATACTTGTTCCTGGCTTTTGAACAAGCCCTACCTGACAACTTGGAACTCAAATCAGTGAAACTTACCGTGAGTTCTCTCGTCTCAGCATCTGCCCAGTATCGCTACAGACTAAACCCTAAACCCTAAACCCTAAACGCTGAACCCTAAACCCTAAACCCTAAACCCTAACCCCTAAGTTGCCGGGCTTTGTCCGAGACCCTAAAAGGGGCTCGGCGGCCCTGAGCGCCGCCTCCCGCGCCCTGCGCCTCGCCCTGTGGCGCAGCTGCGAGGCCCCGGGCTTTTGGGGGGCCTTTAAGGGGAAGGGGTGGAGGGTTTAGGGTTTAGGGTTTAGGGATGTAGGGATGTGGAGGGTTTACGCGCTGTCTTGTGGAGTTTCCCGGCTGCTTGCAAGAGTCCTGGATGCAAAAGGGATGTGGAGGGGTTAGGGCGTTCAGGGTCATAGCAGGCAGACAGGGGCTCAAGGAGTGTATTTTGTGCAGGGATTCGGGGGATGTAACTTCGTAATCTGAGAGACTGAGGAAGGGAGGGGGGGAGAGAGAGAGAGAGATAGAGAGAGAGAGGTAGATGTAGGGGGGCCTCCCTCCTGCAAAATAACCCTGGCGAAAGAAAGAGAGGTAGATGGATGGATAGATAGATAAATAGATAGATAGATAAGCATATGTGTGTGTATGTATATTATATATATATATATATGTACATATACACATGCGCATATTATACACACATGGTTCCGCAGTTTCGAGGCTGCATTGGAAACCTCGAGCTCAGTTCAGGCTTCCTTCTCTAAATATTCACACACCGAATCTTTTCAACCAAGAAAGAGTGAACCCTTATACATTCCTTTTCATGAGTCGTTGGCAATCAAAGTAGCAGGCAAAAAGCTGTGGGTAATCTATGTTGTCCTCTAGCTCCTATCTCATGATAGTGTCATCTACTCTACCCCAACACCTTGAATACCAAGGGGGTAAACCTTCAATCCTACACACTCCAAGAGTGCCTGGAAGGCCGAAGGCCTCTGGCTGGCCTTGGCGAAGCGAGGTCTGGGCGCTGCGGCTGCGCCTCGGCGCAGAAAGCCGCAAGGGCAGTTCAGGTGCCTGAAGGGCATATTGTAGCATACCTATGACAAGGGGTCTTAAGGGAAAAGTATGGGTACATGCCGAGACATGTCGTGCTGACATGCCCAGCCTGTTGAAGTTCCAGGGATGGTTGGACCCTTCAAAACCTGTGAGCCTCGCCCGGAACGCCAAAGCCCTAAAGCCCTCAGCCCTAAGGCTAAGGGCCTGAAGCCCAAGCCCTTCCCCTGCCCTGAGTGTCCTCCCCTAGTTACACCAAACACAGGCCTTGAATCTCTAAACGCTGAGGGCCGAAGCCACCCCTAAACCCTATACCCTGAACCCTAAACCTAAACCCTAAACCCTTAACCCTAAACCCTAAACCCCTAAACACACAGCAAGCCCTTTCCAAGGTTGACACCGTGCGGCGGGCACGTTCCGATGCCTCTGGGCCGGTGGTCTATCGCGACCCGACCCATGGAGTTTCCAGTTGTCACGGGTTTAGGGTTTAGGGTATAGGGTTTAGGGTTTAGGGTTTACGGTTTAGGGCATAGGGTGAAAGGGGGTGAGGACCGTGGAGTTGAGGATGAGGGCCTAGCTACTCACAACCTATGGTCGCTCGGGTGCCGTGCTGTAGCTTTTGGGAGGTCGCTGTAAGCCTTACAGAGGACGAGCCTGAAGATGTTGAATTAGGGTTTCGGGTTCAGGAAGCTCCCACCGGCCATGTTGGTCCGAAGGCAAGACTCTACCTGGAAAGCCGTAGACCAGATCCCCAGAAAGGTATCGCTCGGGGCCTGAAGCGTCTCTTCGACAAGAGTTTCGAGCTCCTGGAAGGAGGCTGGGAATCCTTCTGGGATCTTTTGCAGTTTGGGGCGGCAAACAAGGGAGGGATCTGCAGAGCATTCTGCCTGAGGCGTCGACCGCCATGCCAAGGGCTTCACCGTGGCCTGTCGGCAGCCTTTCCTGGCCATCAGTGACGGCACTGACAGATGAAGAGCCACCATCTTCTGCATAGCTGCCACCGGGTAAGCCTTGTCGAGAGGGGTCTCATCCCGTAAGGCCTGCTTCGGAGGATTGTTGGTTCCGGCACATGAAGTGTCCCTGGCGTGTGAACGAACTGAAAGACTTGAAGCACAAAAAGTTCTCTCTCTTGCATGCAATCCTTGTACGATTGTCGTTGAAATTTTTCAATCCCTAAACCCTAAACCCTAAACCCTAAACCCTAAACCCCGTCCGGGCCCTTGGTAGTGACTCAAACTCCGAGGCGGCCCTGAACTCAAATCCCCAACGCAGAGCTGTTTCGGCTAGGGCTCCACGCCCTAAGCCCTAAACCCTAGACCCTACTTGGAGGATCATGGGACTTAGTAAGTAAGGTCATAAGTCCCGTAGTTGGGGTTATAAGTATAGTTACCCTAATTATAACCCTACTTACTAAGTCCCATGATCTTTTCAGTACACCCAACCGCCAAACCTCGTGCAGTTAAGTCTCAGGTCGTGGCCTGTCCTGTAGCGCGGAACCTCGTGTCGCTCGGCAGTCAATAGAAGATCTCAGGGTTCAGGGTTTAGGGTTTAGCTGGATGATCAGAGACTGGGTTCAAAAAAAGGGTTTAGGGGAGTGTCAGTGGTCTGATACAAGATGGTTCTCTCAGAGCGCCTATGTGATGCAGCAGAAAAGCTCGTCGGGGTGGGTTTAGTTTGACCCAGAAGGAGAATAACTGGACTGCTCGCCTTTGGGCGCTTGGGGAAGAGTTTGGTGTGCAGGGTTTCGGCTCGGAGGGTCATATGGAAGTCAGTCGTGAGAGCTGAACCTCCGTATGCTCAGACCTTCAGACGATTGCACAAGTCCTGATGCAACAACGGGTCGGCCTTCGGACGCCTGTGACACCTTCGACATTAAGATCCGAAGCCTAGAGATTCG